CTGAGTCTTCAGTGATCATGATGTCAAGATCCAAACCAAACTTCTCATCTACCATCATCCCTACTCTGCTGTATGGGCATGAAACTTGTCTGACATATTGCAAAGACCTGAAAGTTTTGGACCTGGAAAGTTTAGTATCAGTGATGTCTTGAGAAAATCCTCCATATCAAGTGGAAGGATAGAAGGATGGAAGAACACATATCAAACTTCTGGCTCAAGCAGACACCGCCAGCGTTGAAGTAATTTTTATAGAGCACCAGCTCTTTTGGATAGGACATGTCATAGAGATGCCTGACACCTGGCTCCTACAACAGTACCTATACTCCAAACTGACCACTGGTTACTGTGGCAGGAAGCCACATTTGTTTCTCCCCAAAATCTCTGCTTGGTGACAATTTGATTAGGATGGGCCCAGCAGAGGAGACATAATTTTACCCTCTCTCTTTGGGTAACCTGCTACATTCCTGAGGGAATGGCTACATTCCTGAGGGAGGTGGGAAACCTGCTCCCTCTGCCTATGTGGTATCAGCTACCTGGGTGAGAGGCATCTACTTGGTGGGCGAGAGTCTGCCTGGCAACTAGTGATGTATTTCAAATTGGTTGGCTGACAGCCAACAGGTGCTGGCCTCCATTGGACCAGGTGAACAAGGTCACAGGGGCTATATAAGTTAACACTGACCAGGAGGACGGGGCAGCAGTCATGCGGGGGACTCAGATGTAGAGAGGAGCTTTACCATCTGAAACTGGCTCTCTCCCCCATAACTCATGAGCTAGGAATGGCCTGCCTCCACAGGGGATCTCCAGCAGCCTCTGGATGATGCTTGTGAGTAAGCTACTCAAGATCTGATTAGATATATAGCTGGCAGTAACTCAGATGCGTGATCAAAAGGCTACCTCAGTGTAAGGGAGGAGAGCAGGCGCCGGGCTGGGAGAGACCCCAGACCAGCGCAAGCCGACGCCGCTTGCACGTAGTGGCTGGCGACGAGCGGCAGGAATTTGAACCTTGCAGGAACCCGGAAGTGGGAGGCGCCAGGGCTACCCGGGCCCATTCAAAAGGAGCGCCGGTGTGGACAGACGAGGCCAGCATTGGTGGAGCCGAGAGTGATGGGTCCAGGAGCTGCAGAGCCAAGGTAGACGGGTCCGGCAGCGGCGGTGGCGGTGGAGCTGAGAGTGACGGGTCCAGGAGCTGTGGAGCCGAGGTAGACGGGTCCAGCGGCGGCGGAGCCGGGAGTGACGGGTCCAGGAGCTGCGGAGCTGAGGTAGATGGGTCCGACGGCGGCGGAGGCGGCTGAGCCAAGAGTGACGGGTCCGGAGCCGTAGGAGCCGAGAGAGCCAGGCCCGAAGGCAGCGGAGCTGCCAGAGACAGGCCGGAGGCAGTGCGGTTGGGAGCAGTGGGTCCGGGGACGGCGGCACCCAAGGCGGCAGAAGCAGACACTGCAGAGGCCAGGAGAGCCGCAGAAGCAACAGCACCCCAGCGGACCAGGGCCAGCGGACGGAGCAGCTGGACCTTTTGGGGTAGGCGGGACCCCGGGGCAGGGGTCCGCATGCCAGTTGAGAGGCCTAAGAAGGTCGAAGACGCCAAGGCGCCACGGGGTGCGGCACAGGGCCCGTAGGGAGCAGGGCCAGGATTTTTGTTTTCCTTTTCATACATTTTTTTTGGACTTTATAGTACCTTGTCTTGGCAGGGCCTGCGGCCCACCCAAGGCACAGGAGGCCTGGGCGAGGGTGTAGGGGTGGAGGAGCCCTCAGGACAACGGTATCCGGGAGCCAAGCCGGACAAAGACGAAAGTCTTATCCCCGGACGGTACGCGCCGCACCAACTGAACAGCATATCGGGTAACAGCAAGTCGTGGCAGGAGAGGCCGGCGCATATGCACATCCGGGTCGGGTGAGCCCTTTGTGAGCTGGGAGGCCACGGTCCCTTCCCCGAGGAATTTGGGCAGGAGGGACTCGGCCCAAGGGGAAATGCTTACACTCAGCCAGACTGTTTTTCTCTATGGGATTTCTATGATATTGTTCTATCTTGTACCCTATTTTCACCCTACCCCTGTAATCAATAAAGTTCTCCTTTGTGATCAGTGTAGGGAGCTTATTGAGGGGTGGGTCTAAATTATGCCTAAGAGGCCCCTTAGGTCTGCGAACTGAGAAGCACTTTCCTTTTTGGCCCCCAAGTGCTTGTACTGGATCGAGTACCCATTGGACTATTAGGCCTGTATTTTCCCAAGGACACACAGCTTAAGAGGGTAAGCACCCTTCAGCAGCTTACATTACCCCCGGACTCTGTGTTGGGGCTCGAAAGGGGGTCTGCCAGGGCTTAGGTGCCTCTGGAGAGACACGTGGAGTCCGGAAGGTGGACAGATGTAGTGAGGTGGAAGGCTCAATGCAGGAGCTCCCCCTACTGGCCCATCACCACTCTAAGGGTGGGCAAATGAGATGCAAGGACATCTTGAAGGCCAATCTGAAGAAATACAATATTAACGTCAATACCTGGTAGACTCAAGCACTGAATTGTCCCCAGAAGCAAAGTGATGCACAACAAGCTCTTTCCAGCCTGCTTCCCAGAGGAGACACATGGGTTCATGCCCATTGTGCCCCCGGGACCCAAAGACGCAGACCCAGATCCCCCCAGCAAAGAGCCAGGAAATAAGAGCTGGGCTGAGAGAGAGGGTGGGTGAGTGCAGGGGCGCTCAGGGAGGACAGAGAGGACTCCTAGGAAGAGATGGAATTCACCTCACTTGGAGAGGTAAGTCCCTGTTCTCAGCCAGGATGGCTGGTTGACTGGACAGGGCTTTAAACTGACTTTGCTGGGGGACAGGGAAACTCCAAGTGGAGCATGCCCAGGGACTGGCACACAGGAAAGTTCCCTTCTGGAGGACACTAGCACAATTGTTTCTGAAAATGCTAACCAATCAGTTCTCCCACAGTGTCTCAGGAAATTGAGGGTGTCAGCTGGAGGCCTCGGCCACCTGTACACCAATGCCAGGAGCATGGGGAACAAGCAAGAGGAGCTAGGTCTCCTGCTCTCTAGTGGGCAATATGATCTGGTAGGGATCACGGAGACCTGGTGGGCCTTGCATGATCAGAGTGTAGCCATAGAGGGCTACACCCTGTACAGAAAGAACAGAGTAGGGAGAAAAGGCAGAGGGGTATGTCTTTACGTGAGATAAGCAGGTTGAAACCCTCTGGGTCAAGCTATGGAGGGGTGAGAGAAACCTAACTGTAAGCATTTTCTACAGACCACCAAACCAAGGGAAGAAGCTGGATCTGGAGTTCCCCTGTGAACTGACAGAGGCCATGCATGTAAGGGACTTGGTTGTCATGGGTGACTTCAATTACCTGGACATAGATTGGAAGGAAGGAACACTTGGCTAGGTCAGATTGTTCATGCAGTTTCTTGACTGTAATCAAGAAGCTCTTCCTGACCCAGGAAGTGCAAGGGCCAACCAGAGGTAATGCTCCCCTAGATTTGGTGGCCAGTGGTGTCTCTCAGGGGTCCATGCTTGGACTGGTGCTTTTCAACATCTTTATCAATGATTTGGATGGGGGAGTAAAAAGTTCACTGGCCAAGTTTGCAGATAATACCAAGTTATGGGGCAGTGTGGTTATGCCAGATGATAGGATGCAGATACAGGCGGACCTGGACAGGCTCGAGAGTTGGGCAGACCAGAACCAGATGAAGTTTAACACTTCCAAGTGGAAGGTGCTCCATCTGGGGGCAGACATCTTTTAGCAAACATGTAGGCTCAGTGGCAACAGCTTGATTTGCATCACGACTGAAAGGGACCTGGGGTAATGATCAACCATCGTATGAATATGAACCATCAGTACGAGGTGGTAGTCAGCAGGGCAAACAACACGCTGGCATACATCAACCGATGCATCTCGTGTAAAACTAAGGAAGTGATACTTCCATTGTACTCAGCACTGGTGAGACCGCAGTTGGAGTATTGCATCTAGTTCTGGGTGCTGCACTTCAATAAGGACATGGAAAAACTTGAGAGGGTGCAGAGAAGAGCCACCCGTATGATCAGGGACTTGTGAGGCAAGCCATATGAGGATAGACTGAGGGACCTGGGCCTCTTTAGCCTATAGAAGAGAAGGTTGAGATGGGACTTCATAGCGGCTTACCACAATATCAGAGGAGTGTATCAGGAGCTTGGTGAACAATTGTTCACTAGGGCACCCCTGTGGGAAGACCAGGACCAATGGATATCTCCTGGAAGGCCACTTCAGGCTTAATACCAGGAAAAACTCCTTCACAGTCAGGGTGTCCAGACTGTGAAATACACTCCCTCCAGAAGTAAGGCAGTCACCTACCCTGGAGGTTTTCAAGAGGAGATTAGACAGTCACCTCACTGGGGTCACCTAACCCCAGTTGTCTGCCTGCCTAGAGTGGGGGGGCTGGACCCGATGATCTGCAAGGTCCCTTCCAGCCCCTAACAATCTATGAATCTATAATCTATGAATCGATGAAACAAGGCATTGATCATTTCAAGGAAACTTACCTCACGATGGAGGTGGTAGACAAGAGAGATTAAAGGGAAGAGCTGTGATCTGACATCAGCAGGATCCGCTCCTTCCTTCTGGAACTATTTGCCAAAACTGCAATCAAGCATGCTGTTCTCAGATTGGCCTCTTCCATCTTCTGCAAACTCACTGATGACTTCCTTAGTTACCGGAAAACTGCCATCCTTATATCATGGCAGAGCCATCTCTGCCGGGGGGTGAATTGGGGTGACTGCCCCAGGCCCACACTTCGGGGTGCCCCATGGACAGTGCCATACAGGCCCTGCCACAGCCACCACACACCACTGACTCTGTGCTCCGCCCGCTCACCATCACCCCCCACCCTGCTTCATGTTCTGGCTGCTTGCCACCCCCTCCCAGCCCCCACTTTGCACTCTGGCCGCTCGCCACTCCCCAGCCCCACATGGGCTGATATGCCCTGGGCCCTGCACACCCCTAGAGATGGCTCTGACTGCTGGTGACTAGTTTTGAACTACCCCATAGCCCTTTCTCATTTAATAGAATACTTTTACAGATTGGCATCAATATGCCAATATAATATAAATGTAGTATTTACATACTGATAATATATGCCTATTATATTGGTATAATACTAGTATACCAATATAATATACATATAATGTGTAAATAAATACTAATTTGGCATATGTTTAGATTTGTGGGCTATATTAGCTAAAATATTTATATTGAAGGGGCTTACTGCTCTACTTATCATGCTGTATAGCAGAATGAAAGGTTTCTCCTTGGTCTGAGAGGTTAGCAAGATAGGGCACTGCAAATATGTTTTCATTAGGATGATAACTTGATATTGAGGATATTCTTGGTGCAGTTGTATTTATTTGTGAGACTTGAACACAACAGAATAAGCAGCAGGCAGTTTCCCTACCTACAATACCAGTTCTGCCCACTCACTGCTTCAACTCTGAACACTATCAATGGTTGCTCCCTTGTTTCCTGCATGTAAGTGCACATGGGTATACAGGAACACACAAATTGCTAGTTCTGTGCATTTTCAATCATGAAGACCTTATTGGAACACAAAGCTTTGGTTTTAGTGAGGGCTTTGCCCTGTGGCTCAGAGCCTTGGGCAATGACTTTCATGATTTCCAGCTCTCCCATTATATAAAGGGGGTTAATTGCTTTTTCCATTGAGCCTGAAAGGAGGATGCTTAGTTCATCCAACATCTGTAATTATAGGGTGAGTTCCACCTCCCTGGCCAGTCTCCCTGGGAGCAGACATGAAAAGAAGGAACTGCCCTCACCTTCCCACATCGCCTCTGCCACAGTCCTGAGCTGAATTGGTCAGGAGCACCTCTGGAGATTCCTCCACACCTGGGGCAGCTGGGAATGCAGCAGCAGTAGTGAAGAAGGAGAAGGGAAGGGGAGAAGAGGGGACATGCCTCTGTGCACAGAGGGGAAATGATGGGATTCTTACCTGCTTTGGGGACTTTAAAAAGTCCCCAGAGGCTCCTACGCACATCTTTGCAGTGGCAGTTTGTGTTTCCACACCCCACTTTGTGAGATCCTGGATCCACTTCTGAACATAATAAATGTTTTAACATAATGGATAGTTTTATTAGATAGGACTCTGAAAAATGAAACAAATTTTCCAGCACTTAATTCAATATCTTTATAGAGTAGAAAAGAAGAGGAACAATGGAAATAGAACTAAGGGCCCCATTTGTTATATGGTCCATTACATGATGGGGAACTTAGTTATGTGACGCAGCCTATGCTTATTATTTTGTCCTGTGAAATGATATGGCATGGCTTCATGCAATTTACGGGCATATATGCTATTTGCAATTTATGTTGCCCAGATTCTGAATTGTATCAGGATGGTATGATGGTGTCTATAGCAGTCAGAGAAGATTCTGCTACCAATGGTCTGTTGGTTTGCCTTGAGACATGTTCGATAGTTACGATAAATATGCTTAGTCACCATGCTTTGTATGGATTTACTAGTATTTTATTTGACTTGTTGCCTAGCTCAGAGCATGTTTGTTTGTTCTGCTAATAGTAACTATGGAGTTTTCTACTTACTATAAAAGGTAGCTCTTTTCTACACAATTGGGCCATGTTCATAATTGTTGGATGTGCTTTTCTAGTTTTAGTGCATGTTTTCTGATTATTTAGCAGCTTACAATGAATACACCTTGTACATATACTGCATGTGTTGCCAGTAGTGGAGAAGAGGAAGTATCTATTGTGCAATTTAATTCAAGTGATTGCTCAATTTAGTTTATTTTCCTGGTACACTGTAAGACCTACTGTTCGTGAAGAAATTGTTTATGGCTTTGAACTTAATGCCTTTGCTGTACAGAGAGATGAAGAGAAGACTTACTTTACTCCCTTACTTGAGTAGTGCTTACCTAAACCTTGAGGCTGGGATCATAAGAGAGAGCAAGCATTTGGGACTCACCTGCTATCTTATTGCCTGAAGCAGGAAGGTGAGGAACCAATAAAACTGTGGATCTACTCCACCCAGTTGCTGGCTCAGACAGCTAATTCAACACAAGGAATGTTACAATTTTGCTCTTGCTCTGTTCCCATAGCAAATTACTATCTCTCCTTTTTGCCTGAATGAAGAGGAAGCATGAAGGGAATTGTGACTCAGAAGTGTTTCACTGAGTACAGTGTCTCTTGAATTTACTACTGGGTGGTGCAGTATCTTCTTTATATGTAGCAAGGAGTGTCTGAGGAAGAAGCTTCATCCATTTTAATGAGGCTACCGGCAGAAGAACTTGCAACTTACTGTAGGATAAGGGAGGAGGAAGGCTCAGGCTTTGTCATGGGGGAAGCAATATTGTTATTACTTCTACCACACTGAATTGTCATTTACAGTAATGCTATGGTTTTCCCCACTTCTGGTATGTGTGTATACATCCCTGCCAGCATGTGGGGCTAGTCTGTGTTGTTTTCTCTTGATGCTGCCTGCTGTTATACTTGAAGAGCATTCATCAAGTCCTTTTACTTGTAATGGTGGCTGTCTCTGTTACTCCCTGTCTGACCTCACTGGGACAAACAAACCCCTAAATTACACAAAAGTGGTGATGAGGATGGGATGCCAGTGAGCAGAATGTTTCTTGTGCATCCTTCTGCACAGTGGCTGCGTCTACACGAGTGGCGAACTGTGAAGTTGTTACTGTGCAGTCATGTAAGCAAGTACTAAATGACTGCACAATCACTGGCATTACTGAGCAGTACCATCACCACACACAGTCCTTTCCCAATGCTATTGCACAGTAGCAATGAGCTACTGTGCAGTAGCTTATTAGTGCACAGTATCATTGCCACACAGTTAGTGCCTGTCAATAGTACTGTACAGTAACTTGTTGCTACTGCACCATAGCACCTCGTGTAGATGCATCCCGTGACTGTCAAGTAGTGCATTGGAGAAAGGGCCTGTACCACCCAGGAAGCTCTGTACAGGCACCTAGAACACCTTGCAGGGGTTATTTGACCCCAGCAGTCTTTTCTGCCCAGAGCAGGGGGGCTGGACCCAATGATCTCATGATGTCCCTTACAGCCCTAAACTTCTGTGAATCTGTGCGAGTGTGAATGGGGTCCTATACATGGAGCATTCAGTGTGGCTGTTCTCCACAGTGGTGACCTGGGTCTGCATTGAAGAATGTTATGTGACCGGGACATCTTCCTGGGAAGCTGATGCCAAACAACTGACAAGCCGGCTGGCCAGCTTCTACTTGAAAGCCAATCAGATCACTAAGGTTAATCAGAAATATGCTGTGTTACTGGCTGTCATTGGCTCACAGGCTTTTGACATTGTTTGTTCACTCATATTGCCAGCTAAATTCTATGACAAGTCCTACAGTGAAATCCCTATGCCACTAAAAATTCACTTTACACTGACTCACTGAAACAGTGAGATGGTTTCATTTCAGTCAATTCAGTTAGGATGCACAGCTGAGTTCCATTGTCTGCCTAAGAACTGCAATTTTTGTTCCAGTCTTGAGTTTCTACTGAGGGATTGACTCGTGTGGGGTTTGAAATGAAGCTCTACTCCTCACAAAGCCAAACTTAGCATTTGTCTTTGCCCTAGTAGAAGCACTTGCTCATGAAACTGCATATGTCTATTTGAATGGATCCAAGTTAAACCATGGAAAATGGTTGTCTTGGAAAATATCAACTGAGACTCACCAAGAGCAATCCAAAGGGACTTCTCCAAAGAAGTCACCACTGTACATTTTCACCCCAGAAAAGCTGTTATAGCTGTTATAGGAGCCACAGATCTGACACATGATGTCAAATGCCATCATTGCACAAGGGTCACATCAAATGTGTCATCAGAAGTTCATGCCAGCCAGAAAGAAACCAAACAAGCAGCATTTGCCTTTGGTTGCTTCCCTGAATGGAATATCAGCCTGCAAGATGCTCATGGATGTCCATACTACTGGATTTGTCAACAGTGTGGAAACACCACCTCTACAGAAGATGTATACCACAGCGATGCTCCAAAGTGTACCATGGATTATGCAGGTCAATTCAGGATCTGAGTTAGTCTTCATTTCAGAAGACGTGAATTGCTGTGGTCCAAAGGTTGGCCTCCTCTTGTTCCATACAAAGTAAGATTTGTCGACTATAACGAACAAACAGTTGACTTGAAGGGAAAATGTTATATCAGCATCTGCTGTGGGAAGTATCACATGGTCTTCTGCTTCATAACCGCCAAAGGACAGAGAGCAAGCTTGCTAGGTGGGGAATGGTTCGAGCCTCTGGGCATCAAGTTAACAAGGATTCACAGCACTGCTAAAGATACCATTCAACAGGAATTCAGCTATATTTTTGAAGGGCTAGGTGCATAGGCAACTGGTAGGGGGTGCACAGGGGTGCCTGTGCCCCCCGTCAACAGGGCTGGTGCCCCCGGATGGCCGCCACCATCAGCAGCTTCTGTGGGTGCCCCCCCAGATTCAGGAGGCACCAGTCACTCATGGCACACTGTACAAAGGTCCATGTGCTTTATTTATGTTGAATCAAAATGTGGCACTTATTCAAATGAAGCCTCATAGTACTGCATTTGCCCTCCATCCAAAAACTGATGCAGAGATTGATCATCTTGTAAACAAAGTGTAACTGAAGTTATAGGACCAATGTCATTCAAGGCCAAGACTCCAGGGGCATGCATTGCAGCACCACAAATAGTAGTGGCAAAAAATTGTGGTGCTACTTAGTGCTGCAGTGCACATCCCTGCTCATGACGCTTGCAGAGGGACTCATTGTCCTGCTGCTTGTGTACTGTGGGGGGGTGGAGGGGGCAGGCTGGAACCAAAGTGTGGGGCTAGCCAGCAGGAAGCAGGCATCCCTGAACTGGCTGCTTCCCTGTATCCACATGCCTCAGCACGAGGGCTGTGCTATGGAGCCCCTGCACTGAGGCATGTGCAGCCCCCATCTTGAGGCACACTGTGCCACAGTCAGCTGGGCCCTGGGCTGCCTGCTCTCCCATTTGCATGTTTGTCCCAGCACACAGGACTTTGATGTGCTCTGTGCTGCTTTTTTTTTCAGGGTTTTTTCTTAAATTTTGCGTCAGCACTGCAAATTAGCAGCACTGTGCATGGTTTAACATACAACACATGCAGTTTGTGGCACCAGAGAGTTTGCAGCACCACAAACTGAACATGCCTGCACATCTGGATCCAGCCCAGAAGGCAAGACACTTCACAGATATGTCGATCAAGCACAAGATAGAATTTCAGGTGATGTACCCATCTACAGATCTAGAATCATGGAAAATGAAGATTGGAAGGGAACTCAGGATGTCATCTAGTCCAACCACCTGCTCAAAGCAGGACCACCCACAGCTATATCATCCCAGCTAAGGTTCGTCTAGCTAGGTCTTATAAACAAATAAAGATGGAGGTTTTTCCTAATACCTAATTTAAATTTCCCTTGCTGCAACTTGAGACCATTGCTCCTTGTTCTGTCATCTGTCACCACTGAGAACAGTTGAGCTCCATCCTCTTTGGAACAACCCTTCAGGTAGTTGAAGGCTGATATTAAATCCCCTCTCAGTCTTCTCTTCTCCAGACTACATAAGCCCAATTTCCTCAGCTTTTCCTCAGAGGTCACATGCATTTTTGTTGCCCTGTACTGGACTTTATCCAATTTGTCTACATCCTTTCTGTGCTGGGGAGTGCAAAACTCGATTCAATATGGATCACCAGTGCTGAATAGAGGGAAATAATCACTTCCTTTGATCTGCTGGCAACATTCTTGCTAATGCAGCCCAGTATGCTGTTAGCCTTCTTCACAACAAGGGCACATTGTTGGCTCATATTAAATTTATTGTCCGCTGTAACCCCCAGGTCCTTTTCTACAGAGCTGCTGCTTAGCCAGTCCATCCCCAGCATGTACCTGTGCATGGGATTGTTCTGTCGTCAATGCAGGACTTTGCACTTGTCCTTATTGGACTTTATGAGTCTTCGTTTAGTCCAACCTCCAATTTGTCAAGGTCTCTCTGAATTCTAGCCCTACCCTTCAGTGTATCTACTCCTTCCACTTTGGGGTCATCCACAAACTTGCTGAGGGTGCACTCCATCCCATCTTGCATATTGTTGGTGAAGAACAAAACCAATCCCAGGACCAACACCTAGGGCACTTCACTTGAGACCGGCTGCCAACTAGACATTGAGCCATTGATTATAATACCCTTTCAGCCTGACAATCTAGTCAGTTTTCTATCCACCTTGCAGTCCATTCATTCAGCCTGTACTTCCTTATCTTGCTTGCAAGAATGTTGTAGGACACTTTATCAAAAGCCTTGCTAAAGTAAAGGTATATCATATCCTCTGCTCTCCCTGCATCCACATCATAGATGGCAATCAGGTTTGTTAGGCATGACTTGCCCTTGCTGAATGCATGCTGACTGTTCCTAATCAACTTCTCCTCCAAGGGCTTAGAAATGGATTCTTTGAGGACCTGCAGCATGATTTTTCCAGGGACTGAGGTGAGGCTGACTGGTCTGTAGTTCCCTGGATCCTCCTCCATCCCTTTCTTAAAGATGGACTCTACATTTGCTCTTTTCCAGTTGCCTGGGATCTCTCCTGATGACCACAAGTTCCCTTCTGAGCCAAGTTGGTCTTCTGCCATACGTGCTAGTCTTCCTATGCATCAAGATGGTTCATTCCTGTGCCCTTAGTAAAGTTTATTTGAAGTACAATGAGCTATCCTGAACACCTTTCACCCTTAGATTGGCTTCCCATCAGTTCTCTGAGCAAGTCAGTCTGCTTTTTTGAAGTCCAGTGTCCTTACGCTGTTGCTCTCCTTCCTTCTTTTCTTCAGGATACTTAAGCCAATTATCTGGTGGTTGCTGCTGCCCAAGTTGCCAAACACTTCTACATCCCCCACCAATTCTTCCCTGTTTGTGAGTAGCAGGTCAAGAAGAGCATGGCCCCCAGTTGGCCTCTGCAGCACTTGCACCAGGAAGTTGTCCCCAGCACTCTCCAGAATCTTCCTGGATAGCCTGTGCCCTGCTGTATTGCCCTCCCAGCAGATGTCAGGATGACTGAAGTGCCCCTTGAGAACCAGGGCCTGTGATTGGGAAACTTTCTCTAACTGTTTGAAGAAAGCCTCATGTACCTCATCCTCCTGGTCTGGAGGTCTATAGCATACACCCACCAAAACATCACCCTTGTTGCTCTTCCCTCTGAACAAAAATCAACAACTTTCAACAAGCCTATCTCCAGTTCCTTACTGGAGCTCTAAGCAATCATATGGCTCTTTTACATAAAGAGCCACTCTTCCTCCTATTCTTCCCTGCCTGTCTTTCCTGAAACCGTTTGTTGCCATCCATGACAGTACTTGAGTTGAGTCAAGTGAGCTATCCCACTAAATGTGTCTTATCCCAGTGACATTGTAGATCTGTGACTGCAAGGACTTCCGGTTATTCCTGTATCTTTCCTAGGCTCTGCGCATTTGTGTACAGACACCTGAAGTAACTAGCTGATTGCCCTACTTTCTCAGGAAGAATGAGAAGGCCTCTCCTGTTGCCCCCTCCTGCTTGTGCTTCCTCCAGCTCACCTGCTTCCCCAATTACCTTAGGACTTTGGTCTCCATTCCCTGGTAAACCTAGTTTAAAGCCCTCATCACTAGGTTAGTGAGGCTATCTATGAAGATACTCTTCCATCTTTTTGTCAGGTGAATCCCATACCACAGTGCTTCTTGGAACAACATCCCATGGTCAAAGAAGCCAAAGCCTTGCTGGTGACACTATTTATGCAGCCAAGTATTGGTATGTAGGATTCATCTGCTCTTGCCTGGGCCCTTCCCCTTGATCAGAAGAATCAA